GGGATTACCAATAAAATGACTTAAGAGAAGTTAAAAATTAATTTCTAAGCACTTAAATATTGAAACTGAATAAATTTTCATTTTCGTGTTTATGAAAAATAATTAATTTCCGAAACGACAAGCAATTTTCTTTAGACGTAAGCATTTAGAATGACCTATTTCCATTTAGGAATAAATTTATCCTGGAAAGTGAGCTACGTCGAGGAAAGCATTGAAAAACACGAAGAGAGTCATTAGAGAGTTATTAAGAAGACTAACTGAAAGATAACGATGTTGAGAACATTTCAGAGATATATGAATTCGCTAAATTTACATCTTATCCCTTAATATGGAGAAAAATGTTGGTGAAAATTGATGAAGATTTTTTAAGAATATTTATAAATATACATATTATGTTCGCACCTTTTATACAAATTATATAGTGAAGAGTTATGTATGCAAGATAATCTTTGAATTTCTTTTACGGTTATTCACATATTTGTTTTTTTCACACAACTGAACTGAAAGGTTAACTATTCGAGCAATCAGAACTATTCTAGACATGACAACCACAAATATTTTCGATGTTTTGTTCATATGTATAGAAAAAAGAGTTTTTTAATGCAATTTAAGGAAGGAAACTTTGTGGATATCAAATTTTTGAATTACATTTATGCTTTTATTCAAACGAATTTCGGTAATTCCCGTGTCTTGGTTTATTAAAAAATGCACTGACCTAGAAATCTTCGAAATTATGATCTTAATGTAAAAGTTTTGATAGTCAAAATTTTCCTCCTTAAATCGTATAAATTTTATATGAAACTCTTTTTTATACAATTAAAAATGACGAGAATATTTTTATATTTGTGAAAATAATCGGACTATATCAATAATTTCCATATTATATATACTAAATTAATGAAGTCCTTTTAGCACGTTATATTCATAAATAATGAACGATGCTTAACTTGTATTCTATTTTCTATACAAATTATCATAAAGTATTGATCTCAGAAAATAATGTAACTTTCTTCATTATTATTCTACTTTTATTATTACTATATTAATAACATAACTTATGGGAGAAATTAAAATGTATTTCAGGACATTTTAATCAAATCAGATGTGTAAAGTATTGGAATCATTTAATTTGTAGAAATGTATCTTTCTTATGTGTATGAGGCAACGTACTGTTTGCGCCAAAAGTGATAATATAATCAAGTGAAAAGTGATTTTATAAGTTGACAAGAAAATATTTTTACATCGTTTGTTTCTTATTGCAATCGCTAACATTATTTCAAGCGTAACACCAACGCGAGTCAAAAATAAATTGGTCAGGAATTTAAGTCATCATGAAAGTATACAGATTGATATATGCAATATCCTATTTACAGTTACAATAACATTAGTACTCTCAATTGAAAGCAATTGATAAAAATGTTCAGATATCTTGGTCTTATTACATACAAATTCACTTAAAAGAATGAAAAAAGCTTTTACCAATAAGAAAACAAACTATTAACATATTTCAAAGATTTTTTAATATGCGATAACAATTTCTAATATTTACAACGATGAAACAGGTAAGATTACTTTCATTGCAGCTTGTTGAAAGTAACATTTCGGAAATGGAAACTTCGTATAAACCATAAGTAGACATTTTGATTTCCATAGTTTACTCTGCAAACAAATGTTTCTTAAATATCTCCATTTTAAAAAATTAAGTAAATCTGAGGTATCTCAAAGTCGCTAATGATTTGTAGATTAATTTGTTCCTATTTACAATACGTTCTCTTATAAATTATGCCAGAACATCAAATAATTATGTTGTAATAAAACTTATTTAATATTTTCCGCAGCTTTTCATTATTATGATTAATAATGATTAAATGTCTGAAATTGCTCGCTACGAAAACGTTACGTGTTTGTTACTATAACACTAAATTAGTGATATTTGAGCGTTTCCTGTTTTCTTAGTCGGATAATAGGTATTTATGAGTAAACTATACACAACATGCGTGCACCCAAAGAAAATATAATAGGGCTACGATGTACAAGCGGCGTAAGTGGAAATTATATTGGTATTAAGTGGAGCATCAGGTGCCAATACATGTGAAAGTTAAAAAAACACTATTGAAGAGTCATTGTTGAGTGAAATATATTAGTTAAGCAAGTGCAAACGTGAAAAATATTGAAACATAAAATTAGAATGATCTTCAAATGCATCATACAAAACTTATTGTTAGGTACAATTGATCACAGAAGTATCCAATTAGAAATTTATAAATGGTCTTTTATCTCTGTTCCTTTAAATGGCATTTTGTATTCTTATAATGATATGTGTATATGTTATATTTTCATTAATTTAACTGTTTGAACTCGAGGGCTCCGGGGCAACGCTATTTAAAATTCGTCATTACAAACTGCAAAATTTTGTCATTAAATGTATTATAACATTTATACCTATAATCGATAAAAAAACAGTAAAATACATCTATGACTTTCCTTTTCAAGCGGGTATCATTTATCTATACGTTAATAAGCTTTTTCCGTTAAAATTGTTTCGAGTTGCTGATAATATCAGTGAGAAAAAGCTTCGAGTGCAAAGGGTTAATAATAAAAGAAATAACGGTCTATAGATTTATTTTAAGTTAATAGAAATTCAATTTTCTAACTTATACTTTCAAAATATATGCTTTATTACAAGCTCATCAACTTAATAAAGGTGATTAAAAATAATTAAACAAAGGTGATAAACAAATATATATGAGTAAGTATACAGGGTGGTTATGTTGAAAATGAACAAGAACAATAAAAAAATGTACATGTAGAAACATTTAAGAAAAGTCAAAGAAGAATTTTTCTGATCCTTTTAACAGATTCTTTCCATCATGTATACTAACAGCGTTACAATTTCAAATCGCACATGGACTTTGTAGACACCCTGTATACCTGGGATTTCTATATTTGTGAAAATACTATTCCCATATGCAACTTATGACCCGCACCTTTATTCGAAGGAAATGGACTTTACGTAGAAGCAGGTACGCTGCCAAGCCTTCTTAACCCCTTGTCCTATGATTGCCGTGAAAATTAAGTTTGATAAACCTACTTTATCGTTAGTAATTCAACAGAAAAAGAGAAGAATTTGATGCTTATTTTATGTCCACGTTTACTCTAAAAGTTAAATATTGATAATAGACAAATAATATTTCATTTATATTAAAAATATAAAATAAATAAATTCAGTTTACGATTTTCATAGCGAGTCTAATAGGATATTACAAAACAAAGAATTAAAAGTTTCGAAAATTATGATATGCTACAATATATTCAGCAACTTTTTAAAAGAGGAAAGTCGATACTCTATCTTTCTTTATTTTTAAGTGAACAATTTGTAGTATCATACTTATTTCACGGAGAGATTTGCTTCAAAAGCGAAATGTTCGATCGAGCTTTAATTAACATGCACACCTCCAGAGTTGTAAAGACGAATGAAATTTAACATTAGATTAGAAAACACTAATCGCACACACATTTTAATTGAACTTCGTCACATTGGTAAGCATGTGTGTACATTAAAATAACATTCATAGCTCCTGTATTACTTTCGATTTCGAAGTTTATCAGGATACGTATATGTACTTTCTCTGCTGCGATACGTGTAATGATTTTTATCTTCATTATCTAGAAGTTCACTTTCGTTGCACTCGTCAGAGCATGCAAGTTAAAATTTATTCTCACTTTCACGTGGCTCGGTTTCATTTGCATCAGATTAATGTCGGTGAAGCCGCCATTTAAACTGATTGCTTTCTATAAAGTAAATTTGTAAAAACATGTCCGTTGCGAGTACATTTTCGAATTAATGAAAATTGAAATGCCTGTTTAAAAAATATGGTTCAAACTATATGTTGTATAAATGAAAATAAAGCAATGACTCTATTATATTGTATATATTACTATGCAGCAACCAAAAAATTGAATTTTGAAACAAGTAAGGAATTTATAATTCACATATTTTGTCACGTATTTGTATCAATTTTATTGAATTAAAATTCTAAAACTGAATAGATATATTCAATTCGTACAGAAAGTAAGAGTAATACAATTATCTCTTTTTTCAGCAACGTCATTAAAATATATGTTTCAAAAAACGAAATTCAATAAACACAAATGAATATACGACATACGAAAGAAAATATTAGTTTATATTTATAGAATAGTTTCCGTAAATAGCTTTTAGAGGAGTTTGTTGAACTTTACTTTGTTTTATTGTTTTTTTAGGAATAGCTGAAGTATCCAAAAATATGCAAATACATAACAAAATATAAATGCAAACTTTTAAGATAAGTGAATATTTATGATACTTCAATGTACACGTGAGCATTAAAGTGTTGCGAACTATATTTACAGCGAAGATACTTTTCTAAACATTGCGAATATAATTTTCAAATAATTATACAATCTATTATACCAATTTTTATATAAAGTCTGAATAAATAATTTCAAATTTCTAGAAAGCTCTGTACACCAATAAAATAATATTAGAATGCTTTTAAACACTTAATAATTTACAATTACAGAATAATGAAATGAAAGTTTAAGGAAGCTCAATAAAATTAACTCATTTTCATTCTAGCAAAATCTTTAAAAATTAAGCGTATATATACGCTAATGATACAAATAGGTCAACTGGTTAAGACTTTGTTATATAACCTGGCTTTTTCATGGCTAAGTTTCCATAAGTTCAAAAAATTCTCGTTCGCAAAGGGTTGAAAATTAGTAAATTCAATCTGCCCAAACATTCGCAGATCATCAATAAAAGTAAAGAGCACTTCGCGTGAACAGTGTTCCAAGTCGCTCGGATACTTCTGTGAACAGCTGTAGATGTTTCCAGCCAATGATCAAGCTTCTGGGTAGCGGGGATAGTGTACGCGAAGTATCATCGAGAGATGAAGAAACTGCAGGTACTGTACAAAAAGCGCAATGGAAGAGGACATAATGGTAGCTTGATGCCTTACCGTCTCCACCCTTTCAGAGGAGCTCGTCGGAGATCCTCCTCGGACAATCCAAGGAGACCTAGACAAGCTAGGAGCCAGGCCATGATCACCAAAGCCGTAATTGCAGCCAGTCTGAATGGCAGCAGCGCTACCGTCAGGAATGCCGTCTGAAACAAGAAGCACTTTTTACTTTAGTAGACAGTCGTCAACACATACTATAATACGGGATAAGAGAGATACTAGCTACTCGGCTATGTGTATACTTTATATTATTGTCTGTATAGATCCATCCTTTGTTGATCACATAGGAGATGTAAATATTTTTATACATTTACTTTCTTAATATTGGACCTACCGAGCATTTAATACGATTACATTTTAATTCCTATGAAAATTGCAACAATAGATTATTTTCAATTTTGTCAGACATTCATTATAGTTTTTAAGTGGAACAATTTATTTTCAAAATCATTTCGAATATTCAATGCTTTGTAGACATCAATAATTGTGAAATAAAAAAACTACATTTTCACTGGTAGTTTTAGCGTTAAAATGGGAATTGTCAGTGATTCACGTATAGTGGCTGTATAGTAGATACTGTAACTCGTGTTTCTTAACATTAAAACTACTGAGTATTTATTACGGTTGATATGTAATCCTTACAAAGATTGTAACAATAAATTTTTCCCGACTTCCTTAGATATTCGTTATATATTCAAGTGCAATTATTTATTTTTATACTTTGTAGGTGTAAACTGACATTATCCGGAAAATAAGATCTAATATCCATCGTTTTAATATATCATAATTTAGTATGAAATAAATGTTAATGAAGGAATTATTAAATAATTATAAATAAATATTATATAATTATAATATTTGTACCATTATTGGTGAATTATTACCGTATTCTACTTTGAGTTATGTTTATTTTCAGAGAAAATATATTGTACAAAATGCATAAATAAATTAAATACTTTTTTGTGATAGTAATGTTGTAAAATAATTTACTTATTTTTACTTTATACTTTTTCTAATACTTCTAAAAAAATTCCATTATACATAACACATTTTCATTAGAAAAATTAACAATTTATTCTGTTCTTTGCATATGATGTTATTCAATGTGTCGATCATTGTTGAGTTTTTCTCTACAAAAATAGCGCTCTGCCTATTCGAATTAAGGCAAATGATGTGATTTCTCATTTGATGTTACTTGTTATAACATGAAAGAAATTCATTTTTACCGTATTGATATTCTGCATTCTAATTCGACCTTCGGCGTACCATAAAGATATACTTCGTAGCACTTCCACGTAATTGGTTGGTACAGTGACTTAAGTGAATAAACCAAGTTTTTCTCGATAAAGCGAACGAAGTCTTAATCAGCACAATCTCCAGCCCTTCGGGAACAATGAACGGTCGTGCCACAGTATTTCGGTTGGCAGTTTATTCAGTGTGATGGTCGATAGTGATCAACTACTCTCAAAGGAAGAATAGAGGGTGACAACCTTCTGCTCTGGTTGTTAGCTTAAAATTCCCTTAACCTCCTTACCGCAAAACTACTTTTTCACATATTAAAATTGAGTACAAAGGTTAAGATTATATTTTACCTATAAAACTTATTAAAAATTCTCTATATTTTAATAGAATTTCTTCAGTGTTGTGTAATTTTCATCGAATAGTTACTTGAATAAATTATCTCCAAATTAGTCTTTTCCAAAAAATTGTTGTTTTATTTCAAAAAACCATGATTCCATTTTAAAAATTGAGGTTAACCTTGAAATCTTCAGAATATTTCTAACGAAAAAATTGTTATTGCCACATTATACTATTCATTATATTAAATAATTTCTGTTAATGACAATTTTTTTATATTTCCAGAAGCAACGGATATAATCAAGTGTCGATTCTTATTGAAACACTTTATACATAGTAATAATTATCATCTTCACTTCTAATAAAATATGAATCTGTAATATCTCTCTATCAAAAAGAAAACACCATGACTTAATTTGATTCAGTTTTATAAAAAATTTGAATTGAATAGCAAATCAACCATTTTCAGCAATACACTCAATTCACTTGAAATTTTTAATGAAACGCAAATCCGCAAGATAGTAATCGATATCAAGTAATCGTGGTGGTAAAATACAGTGAAATTGAAAATTTTAATGTTATACAGATTCTTACACGGAAACTTCGTACAGGAGACTGGAGATTACTTAAATTGAAGATCTTAAAGGGATAGATTAATCTAATATAGTGATAAACAAGTTAATGGAAATCATAACTGAAGCAGCAAATAGGTACTTAAATTGAATAACGTGCATGAACAATCTCGCACAGATAGTAATTATGCCTTCAATATATATATACATATGCATATAACAAACATCAAATACAGAGTGCAGTAAAAACATGATATAAGAAATAATTATCAACATTTATAAAAATACTCAAACAAGTGACAATCATGGATTATTTTCGTCTCATCAATAATTCATATTGCTTCAATTACATGAAATAAATTGAAACGTATTACACATCGAATAAGATGGTTCAAAGAAGATAAGAACTTTTACTTCTTCCATATATTTCGTTTAGCCTCGTTACTTGAAGCTTATAAACCGAGATCTTTGGACGAATGATAATAATTCTGATTTTTAAACTTGGTCAAGAAGCAAATCGACATATGTGTCATTATTAGCTTACTTGATATTCATATTTTCAAACATAAAACTGCTAGAGCTAAATAAAGATAAGATAATACGTATTGAATTAAATACAAAATACATTGTAAACTTCAAGCAAGAAACAGAATACAATTTTTTTAGATAAAACGGAAGTTATTGCATTGATATAAAAAAATGACTATTTCTTTTAAATCACGCTTCAAATATAAAAGATTCAAATATCCATGAACAAAAAATTAATATCGATCACCCATTGCAATTGTATGGAATACAAATGTATTAGAAAGATAGATGTAAGAAACTATTTAGTTTACAATGGCTGGGACGCTGACACAAGAATTTTAATTAACACGTGCAAAGCACTAATGAGACCAATATTAGACTGCGGTTGTATATACGGATTATATATACTTGGATACTATCCAAACTAGGCCTTAAAAATATGTACGTACCTATTTTTATCGTAATCAGTCAAATAACTGGCAACAAAATAAAGGTAAATAAGTTCGATGACGAACGTTTCTCAATAGAAATAGAAACAAAAGAAAAGACAAAAATCGATAATTAAAAAGCTGATGATTAATAGGACAGAATTTTAAATCAAATTTTAAAACTGGTCGTTTGACCGGATCGGTTAGTGCTAAAGAGTTCTAGGCGAGTAATCAAACAATTCGACTCTTGCATTCGAAAATACCACTCGGCTAGAATTCTCCGTAAACACTGGACGAGAATTAGCATTCGACAAGGTATTACTTTTCGTAATGTTCGAGGGAAAGTTACATAACTCTGTCCCTGTATTTGAAAGTAGAAAATGTCGTTTTTCCTCTGTAGCATTCTTGTGGAGTTAGTTTAGTACATCGATCATTCGCGATATAAATCATACAGAATAAATCACTAAACATCATTGGCTTCTTAATTTAAACAGTCGTTCACTGCGTTTGAAGAGTATACACGTCATCTTAAAGCTTTAAATAATACTCATTCTGTCAACGATGAATTCTTTATTTTTTCACACAAAAGTGTAATTTTTTTTTGTTTTGCTTTAGTTTTTCATTAAAATATACCCTGAGTGCATTCGTCCTACATTTGACTTGTACACACCTCATAAATAAATTCAAAATAAAATATTTATTTTATTTTTTCAAAATAAATTCCACAGTTAACAGGTTAATTAGAGGTCTGCAAACCGAATATATCGAGTCGGATCGAATTCCCTAGAGTTTTTAAATTACGCTGGATAAAATATGAAATAAAAATTTTCATATATTTCATTCCATTTATTTTTATTGTTTTTACTCAAATTTACAAACAAACGTACTTTCACTTAAATCAACGATCCACAACTAAGGAATATATAATACAATAATCATATATATAGATAATCATCTGCATAGGTTTAAGTAGTTGTCAAAAATTCAATGGGGTTGTCCCAACTTAAAATGTACAATAAAGAAAAAAGACTATCGATGTGTACAAGAGGTTATTGGCAATTTTGGAATAAAAACATTTCAAGATGCACGGTACTACGTCTCTCCAGTACAAGAAGTTTAATCTTGGTCTTTACAATTCGAAGAAAAAAAGATTTTTGTATATAGCTCACGTGAGTCATGCGCTAAAAGAGATTTAAGCTTTTATATTCTCGATTATAATACGATGAAAATGCTGTCAATAGAACTTCTAGTTGAATGGCAGGGACGTGAAAGTTGTATAAGTATAAGCGGAGGCTCATTGAAGAAAGAAAAGACAAAGCAGACAAAGAGTAAGAAGACGGTTGGTAGAAAAGCGTAGAAAAAGAGAGAGATGCGATTAACAAGTTGAATGCCGGGCGATTTCTTGGAACAAAATACATAAAATGCAAAAAATATGATACGAAATTATTTAATTGAGTTGCGTTACCATTATTGCCTCTTTATCTCGCTAAATGTCATTGCTTTATGTTACATTATTTATAATATAAAAACGTTTTCAAATAATCGTCGTTTAGTTGAGCGAATTACAGTAATTTGATTTCATTGTACCATATCGAAGATAAAAAGAAAGAAACTGAAATATATAACACCAGCAGTGAAAAAACTGTTCGAAATTAGAAACATTATGCAAGTTTCTTCGTTTTGGGGAGGCAGTAACTTGGCACATTTAATTTGTGTGTAGATGGACGTGTAGGAGATATGAAAGTCACATTGCATCGTTATTTGTAGCAAACGATGCAACAAGAAACTTTATAAAAATAGAAAAAAAAATGCGTTTGAAACATTTTTTAAGTAACGAATAGTTTTGGAAATAATTGCGTTTATAGGTTAAAATGGGACACCCAAATGATTGCAAAAGAATGAGAAGAAATGAAGAAGTAAATAAGAAAAGTGGAAAAAGAATATAAGATATTATAAATGAACAATTAAAAGAAATGCGAGAAGAAAATTTAAAAGAAAAAGAAACAAGAAGGGAAAAGATAATATAGAACAAGTAAAAGA